CCAGCACCGCCGAACCCGCCGAACCCGCCGAACCCGCCGAGCCCACCGCCGGCACCGCCGCCGGCGTCGCCGCCGCCGCCGGCCGCGGGCGGGCCGCCGTCCAAGGTCGACGTAACCGTATTTAACCTCCAGCTGACGCCGTCACCCGCCGACGGCATCTCCGACGGCGCCGGCGCGGGTGACACGGACTCCCCGTACCGCTGGTCCGTCAAGGTGTCACCCGACAAGGCGTCGTACCGCGTGAAGTACAGCCAGAAGGTCAGCGTGCAGTACAAGGTGCAGGTCACCCGCACCCAAGCGGCCCGATTACTCAGCTGGGCGGGCGCAGAGAGCGGCGCCGTCAGGGCGTTCACCGCGGCCGCCGGCCCTGGGATGCTGAGCGGGCTGGTTACGCTCAAGAACAACGACGCGTCACCCATGGTCGTGTCCGGCGGCGTGTCACTCATTGCCTCGCTCAATACCGGCGGGCAGCCGCGGGAGCAGGAGCTGACTCAGCTCCAGTGCGACGGGGCAAAGCCAACCGGCGCCGTCGCTCCCGGCGGCGGCCTCACGTGCCGGTTCTCAAATATCCCAGCGCCGCCCGGCGCGTTGCGCGTCTTCGCGCGCGCGCGCGACGCCGGCGGGGCCGCGTACACGAGCGACGCCCTCTCCGTCCCGCGCGGCGGCGCCGGCGGCGCCGGCGTGGCCGCGCTGCAGTCGAGCACGCCGGGCGCGTGCGCCTTTGTCAGCGACAATTTTTTCGACGGGCAGGAGGAGGAGACGCCCATCGTTGTGCCGTCCGCCATAAACCCTAAGACCCTCCAGTCGATCTCCGCCAACGGCAGCAGCAAGGCCGCTGCGGCGGGCGTCAAGGCTTTCAGGGGAAAGGCGCCCGACGCGTTTGATGGCCAGGAGGCGAGCCAGCGGATGTGCGGGAGCGTCTCGTATACGTATAAGGCCGAATTCGGGCCATTCTCCAGCACCGCCTGCGGCACCTACACGGTGGGTCTCGGCGGGCTCGCGACGCCGTTGGTGCGACGTCGACGGCAGTGCGGAGCTCATTGTGCGTCGTGACACCTGCCCCTGCTTCCGGGGCCGCTTTTGCTCGGGGTGTGGGAGGCTGCACCTCCCCGATCAAGGGCTGTCGTGACCCGAAATTTTTGGACTTGGAGTTTGAAACTTGAATATCCGCCCTCCCCTGCAGGCCGCCAACCTCGTGTCCACCCTCATAGAGCTGGCAGGCGACACATCGCAGGTCAGGGCATCTGCATGCCGCGGCCCCTGTCCCTTGCTTGTCGACGTCCGGCCGGTTTCAGCAGTCGCGCGGGGCCCGCCGCCGCACTCGCCGTCCGCTCGCCTGCCGCCGCGCCTGCCCAGGCGCCACTGTTTGAGCCGCATGCACGTGCGACCCGGCTCCCCATGTGCCCTCACAGCCCTGAGCCATTCTGCTTGCTTTCAACCCTGACCCAACGCCTCCAAACCCGAAATCCATCCATCCCCCCAGGTGTCGGACCTGGGAGTCGTATCCATCGCGGTGGAGGGCTGCCCCCGCCCCGGCCCCACTGCCACGCTGGACGCGCCGTCGCTTGCAGTAGTGCGGCAGTACGGCTGGGCCCTAAACGGCACAGTGTCGCCCGGGGCGCTGCTGGTACAGAAGGGGTCGCAGCAGGGGGCGGCGACAGCAGCCTATACCTACAAGGTTTGTGGGGTTTGGGGTTTGGTAGCCGAGTCTTTGGCGATCGAAAGGCGTTCTGGTGGTGCGGCTGGGATGGTTGTGGCTGTTGGATGGCAGCTGCCTGCTTTCGCCGCCTGCTGCACGTGCAGCTGCGCCATCGCAGCGGCTCTACGGCTGCCACTCGCCCCGCTCCCGTCCGGCCCCGCCCATTCGCGGCCCGCGCGACCGCTTCCACGCCGTGCGCGCAACCGCGGCTCCCCGGAGATCCCTGATTGACACGACAATCCCCGATTTGCTGGAAACGCTTTGCTGCTTTTTGCAGGCGACGCGCACTACCCAGGGGGAGAGCTACGAGCTGAGCGGGACCATCACAGTGCGCAACCCGACGCCGACGGCGTGGGTCCTGCAGGACGTGAGGGTGGAGGCGCTGAGGCCGACAGAGGTCCAGGCCATCCTGCCACAGAGCGCGAGGTGGGGTTAGGATTGTTACAAGTGGTGGGGGCTCTGCTGGGGGCCGCGGGGGCCACGGCGGGGGCGCGGACGCTGGCGGTTGGCGGGGCCGCGGCGGGCGGGCTGCGGACACTTTGGTGTGCGGCGCCCTCGCGAGGTGGTGGGCCGGTCGTTGGATGATTGCCACTCCGGTGGCGGCTTCGAGAGCGGAGCGGCCGGGGGTCGAGGTGCAGGGCGCCGACACTGGCGTCGCCGTCGGCTCCAGCACTGCAGAGGACGCCTCGTCCCCTGCGCAATCCGCTGCCACCCCCTTTCTCACGTCGCTGGTAGCACAATCAACCCTTCGTTCCTGAACAGTCCCCCCCTCCTCACAACCCGATGCAAAACGACGCGCCCGCAGCTGCCCCACCGACGACAATGGTGACGTCATCCTCGCCGCCGCCCCTTCGCCTTCCAAGCCGGCCGCCCTCAGCTGCAAGTACTCGTTGACCACCAGCACCCCAGATCCCGGGATCTTGACCGGCCTGGTCGTGATCTCCGGCGCGTCCGCCGGCGCCGCGGCCGGCGGCGGCACGGCGGAGGACGCAAAGGGGGACGCGCCGCAGCGCGCGCCCGCGGCGTCCCAGCGTTTCTCTTTCCTAGGGGATGCGCCTGTCAAGAAGAACGGCGGCGAGTGCGCGTCTCTGCTCGGGTCGTTCGCGTCGCCCGCGGCGCGCGGCGCAGGCAAGGCGTCCGAGTCGGGCTCGGCGCTCGCGCCGAGCGGGACGAGCGGCGGCGCACCGCCGGCGGCGGGGCCGGGGGTGCAGCTGTGCCAGGCGGACAACACGGTGACGTTCAAGGCGACGTTTGGTGGCAGCGTTACCAGTCAATGCAATCGTTACCAGGTGCGTGCGCGCGCTCGTGTGTTTTTGCATGTAGGTGTGTGTGTATT